CCAGCTATTTGGGAGTGGCCTTTTTAGAACAACCCTGCTAAATGCCTATTCTGTTGGAGTATCTGCTGAACAGGCTCTTCCCAGTCACTTCTAATGGGAACTTCCTCGGTTGTGTTCCTGAGTTCTCACCTCCCTTTTTGCAGCAGATGACTTGGAATAACTTGCACTTCTCCAGATTGCAGTGCCAGAAGAGATAAATGGCTGCTCCTGGCCACGCTGACTGTGGCCCATCACCATTTCCCAGACTCATTGTGGGGGGCAAAATTGATGTATTTACTGACTGTCACTCGGGAGTTAAGACCTTGCCTCTCTGCTGGTGGAAGGGTTCGTGTGCGTGTTCCCTTGTCCATTTTACACGACACGAGCCAGGTGGCATCAAGCCTGTTTGTGTTAACGCTAACCTGGCCAGCTCTGCCTGGCCTTAACTAGGGAACAGTTTTGTAATCCTTTTTGCTTGGGAGAGTGGTGGGCATGGTACCTGCTGGCTTCCTCCTGTCTATCTCCTTTTCTGTTCCACAGCTTCTGTGCAGGATGGTCTGCTGCATGTGCACCCAGGTCCCTGCCTGTCTGTGAAACCGCAGCACTGGGAGCTCGTTCGGGGTGTCCCCATCTCCCAGGGGTGCTAGAGATGTCTGGTGTGCCCCTATTACTAAAGCTTATGGGATTTCTTTATTTAACAAAAAGCATGAAGCTTCGGATGGTCCTGCTGGAAGGCTAGGACACTTTGCTGCATACACTGACTGCTTCCAGCACTCCGGGCTGCTTCTTTCCCAGTCTCTTGAAATACTTCCATCGTACTGACTTTATTGGAGTCACTGGTTCAGATTTTACATCTGTTTCTGCCCCACCCCTAGTTTTTGGGCAAGTTTTTCTGTTGCAGTTGTAACTACTTCAGAAATTAACTGAACCATGTTCATTCTTGGAATCCCCACGAGCTTTTTTGATTTAAATTTCAGTCGCTTCCTATTTTGTATTTGCAGAATTTCCTAGCCCTCACCAAACAGTTGCAGTTACAAGTAATAAAAATAAAATCCAAAGCAATGATCCCCATCTTTCTTACTGTAAGAGCTGCTTTTTTTTTTTTTTTTTCGTTGAGCTCGTTCAGCTTACAGTCCCCTTTTGCCTAACCTTTTGAAATGCAAATAATGTCGTTTTGGAGGTGTCCCATGCTGCATATTTCTCACTTATTAATATACGTTCATTAGCTGAACTCTGCATTAATAGTCTAGATCTTTGTGATAGACATGGAACTAATTCTCTTAACTTTTAGCTTTACCTTGTGGCCTGCTATACTCTTCCTTTTCTTTCTTACTACTGTTCTCCTCCCCTTCTTTTTTCCCCAACTTCCCAGGCTGGTGAAAGGGCTTTCCTGAAGTGGGTGGTGGCCAGCCCTGGCTAGCCATGCATTTTTGGTCGTCTCTTTTGCAAGCCCTTTCTCATGGTATTAGGGGTGAATTACTCTATTGTTTTGGGTTTTTTTCCCCCCAATGTTACGTTGCTTTCAGTTTCCCTTGTTTTACAAGTCCCCTTTTCCCAAGTTCTCAAATTGAAAAGAAAAACACGTTTTCAAAACTTCTGTTAAGCACTGGTTATTTACTTTCTCCTTCCCTTCCTCAGGGGTGCTTCCTTTGCTTCCATCGTCGTCTTCTCTGGCTCTGTAGCTGTGGCAGGAACAGAGACTCTTGCAGGTTGTGTGCCAGTCCCGATGCCTCCTCTTTCCTTTAGCCATGCCCTGCCTAGCTCAGAGCTTCGTGCTGTTTTTCTGGGTTTATTTCATATTTGGGTAACTGGCTTCTTTTACAGCCTTATTAGAGCGAGGTGGCTTGGCTTGATTGTCAGAAACCTTTCACGTTCTGTCTCTTCCTACCCACTTCAGTGGTAGGAAGCTAACAGCTAGTTTAGAAAACTTGCTGAGAGAGTTCAGGCACATTTCAGGGGCGACCACCCATCTCGTTCACTCAGAGTCACAAACAAACAGAAAATTACTGTAGATAGCTGATCTTTTTGAAATTTCCTGTCTCCTAAATTCTGCCTTAAGTGATTTACTTTTCTTGTGGTTTAAGTGATCCTTTGATAATCATAAGCTGATTCTTCTGTAATTTGAGGTTATTGTCCAATTTTCTGAACTTTAAAAAGCTCACAGATGAGCTGGGTGGATGCATTATAACACAAAGCAGAACGCATTTAACCATACACGTTTACTTTCCCTCTTTCATTGTTCGTGGTTACTGTGAAGTATGTTCACATGATTCATGTCAATTTGAAACAATGAGGACATATAATGGGACTTTGCCCTCTTTGTGAGGGTGGCCCTTGAGTATTTAGATTTTCATTGTATAATCTGGATAGTGGAATGGTATGTATATAGTTTATGTCCTGGTGCCAATTTTATGTTAATCACACAGTGTTAAGTGTGAAAAGCTTGGGTGGAGGGTCTGGACAGTTACTGGAAAGTTAATTATACAGTGTTAAGAAAGTGTGAAAGGCTTGTGGGGAGGGTCTGGAAAGCATTGAGCTCCATCAGCTTCGGATACTGGGTCCTCCCAGCTTTTCTTTGTTGTTGTTTGTGTAGCATCTCATCTCCAGGTCACACTTTTGAAGACGTTTCAGTGCAGTAAATTGTTTCTCTGCTAAAGCTTAATTTTTTTTTTTGTTTCTCATTCTCCGGTGAGATGTGGCCAGTGCTGGTTTGTCACTGGTCTGCAGCCTGACCCAGCGGGACACGCTCTGCTCTGCTGAATGCAGCCTGCCTCCTCCAAACGGCCGCTTTCCCCGTACGCCCGCTCGGATGCTTTGAAGACAGACCTGCTTTATGGCCTATTTTAGTCTGCCACACTCAGATCGTGCTTCAGCAGACCTTCAGAATGAGTGTTGTGTAACACTGCTGAGCTGGAACTCTTCTAATCAATTTACAAGCGTGACAGCATCTATTTAAGGCAAGAAGCTATAGCATCTGCCATACAGCGGGCAGGGTGAAGCTGTCCAATTGCTGCCATGGAACGAGAAAAAAAACCTGCCAAATTAAAATTTGATTGTTTCAAGTATTCCATTTTTTGTTCTGTAATAAAAATTTTTCTAAGAGGGCTTTTCTTTTACTTTAAAGCAGCCTATTCATTTTATAAGGATGGAGACAGCTGCAAGATTCCTTCTCTAGCTGGGGAATAGGCTGGACTGGCAAACCCAGTCTGCTGCTGGTCAGGACAGGGAAGGGGAAAGGGTGCTCTGAGTAACCGAAACACCTGGATGCTAGAGGAGATAAGAGACACTTAACCAGCTACGGGCTCTCAGTGCAAGATGAGGGTTGTTAGGAGTTGGGTCATTGTAATCCTGCTGGATCCAGAATGGCTTTTGCAGAGGAGCTGGACTAATCCTGCAGTGTGCTCCCAGCTATGCAGGAGGAGAGGAATGAGCTGCTAGGATGGATCGGTTGTGCAGAGCTCTTCCAAATTTTACTGTGTTTGAGGCTTCATCTTGTTTGTCAGACTTGGTCAAAATTGTCCAACAAATGCGGGAGAGGTTAGGGAACCAGCTGCATAATGCGAGTTTAAAAAAAAAGGAAAATCATGTAATAAAAACCAATGCTAAGGGTTTCTCTTCTAGTTGAAAAAGAAAATTTCTGTTTCTTTTGGTGTGCTTTTCATTTTAATGAATAGTGAGCAGTGTCATCGTCTTATTTTTGGTTTACTCATTATTTTTAGAAAGTGGGGGTACGCTTTTGAGAAGCTACTGTGAATCAGTTTCCAGTGAATCAGTCTCTTATGTGAAAAAAAAACCCTACATGAAAAGAGACATTGCGTGTAGCTATAAATGGAAACTGATGTCTCTTATTGCCCAGTCTGCAGGCAAACCTTAGGAACTGTCATTAATTAAGCACCTATGTTACAGGTATATAATATTCCACTTTTGCATTATTTTTTGTGTTGCGGTAGGCACTGTCATATTGCAGAGAAAGCAGAAGTTTCAGGCCTGGAGAGCTAAATGTCGCGTGGAGGTGGGTTTTCAGGGCACGGAGCAGATGTGTGATCTGTAGGGGAAGGAAGAGATTCTCTTTGAAATGAAAATAGGAGTTTTTAAGATTATAAATGTGTTTTTACTAAAAGCATTGCTGCTTCAGCTCATTTCCTAACCCCTGTGCAATCAGTTGTTCAAACTGATGTTTGCTTTCCTGTATTAGCGTAGAGTCGTGATGCACGTCGAACTGACCCTTCTCCTCGTGCAGGTAGGAACACAAGTCTCCCTTGCTTTTTCTTTCACATGCAGAATATCTCTGTTCTCTTCCCTTATTTTTGCTGGGTGATTCTCAGTAAACCCTTGTCATTCCCTCACTCCTTTTGCAATGACATTTGCTCAGAGCTAGAACGAGGTGTAGGGCTGAAATCCTCTCTGTTCTGCGGGAGGATGGCTTGTTTGGAACTCGTAAGAGATGTGTGCTTCAAATGTCTTCTGAGGGATACAGGAGCTCTTGTGGCAAAAGTCAGATCCCTTCTAGCAAAAGTTCAGCTAAGCACCTACAGCATACACAAACCAGGATGTAACGTAACCATGGCACAAGACAACATGCATAGCCCTGGAGAGCGGTGGGACCCTCCACACTGGTGTGTCACCTTTTCCCTGGTTACTGTCTTGATCCTTTTTTTTTTCTCAGCGGATTTGTATTTTGTTTCTATTTTTATACTTTCTTGAGATTAATAGCATTTTCTAACTCTTCATGCTGAAAAAGCCTGCTTGGATGTGTCTCTTAATTCATCATTCTTGCACCTCAGGGGGTGATATTTACAAAGGTTGTAAGGAGGATATAGTAATTTTGGTGACAATTTAAATTTACTCATTGCTCAGGTACATGGATCAGTGCATTTGCTTCTAAGGCAAATAAGTTCTTATGATTTTCTGGCAGAAGTCCTTCCCGAGTGTCTATAGTCTAAACTAGAGGGACTATGTACTGGGAGTTTTAATAACTTATTATTTAATTTTTGTCTTATTTTTTTATAAATCCCTGCCAGGTGTTACAGAAGAGAAGAGGGCTCAAGAACTGCCGACGACAAACACTGCACGACCTGTGAACAGGCTGACGGTGGATATGGTGGAACTGGAAGCTCTCAGAAAGTCTGTGGAGGACTTTTTCTGCCTTTGCTACGGTGGGTGCTTTAAAGTCTTCTAAATAGCTGCTCTGGATTTCTAAATTTTTGTTCTAGTTGGGACGAAAATACTGCATGATCTTAGCCTTCCAACTATACTGCTGTTAAGGTGGTAAGTTTAACTTTTAGTCGCTGATTCTAAAGTGTACACATACATTGCATAGTTTTCTTCTTGATGTGTTTTGTGGGATGTGATTTGACATTAATCCACAGCCCGTTTAGGTTTTTTTCAAGAAAGCCTCTGCCTGTATCTGGGGAGTTCAGTGCATGTTAATGCGAGCAGTGCTTGGTCTGCATCTGCACCGTGCTTTTGCTTCAGCCTTCTCCAAAGTAAAAGGTTTTATGAGGGACTCGTCCTTTTGCTAACTTGAGCACTCCTGACCTCCAAACAATCTCTCTCTTTTTTTTTTTTTTTCTTTTTCTTTTTCTAGGTAAAGCTTTAGGAAAGTCAACAGTGGTACCGGTGCCATATGAGAAGATCCAGAGGGACCAGTCTGCGGTGGTAGTGCAGGGCCTGCCCAAAGGACTTGCATTTAAACACCCAGAAAATTACAATGCTTCAACCCTGAAACGGATTTTGGAAAACAAATCGGAGATCTCATTTATTATCAAAAGGTTATTTGCTCTCTCTTGTGTTGGTCTGTTCACTTTGGTTTGTACTTAAGTCCAATTAATTTTAATTTTTAGTTAAATACATTGCAGCCTGTTTCTCTTGAACAGAAGTGTTCTCTCTTTAATGTTACACTACCAAGTAAGTAATGATGTCTTTGCTAAAGCTATGGGGTTTTCTTTCCATATTTCCACACAGGCCTTTCCTAGACCCAAAGAAACAGAAAGGTAAGTTACTATTTACTCAGACTAAACAGAAACAGATCAGAATTTCGGTTTAGATAGCAATATAGATACAAGATTTGGTCGTGTGGATAAAGTGGGAAACTGCAGAAGTTCCTAGACTCTGAGTTGCCTTATGCAACTGTAACCTTTTCCTTTATGCGTTCTACCAGGAGCCACTAATTAGAGATAAAATTTGTTCTATTGCATTCTTCATCCTTTTAATGAATTTGAATTGAACGTCTATTGGATAGTATCCTAGGGAAAGGAGAAGTGAACCGATGAAGGACTGCATGGCATTTTTTGAAGATGCCAAAACTTAAGTGCTCTGTGTTCCAATACGTATCTGACATTGGCATTTATACATCTTTTTAAAAATTGATTTAATCTTCTGAAGTGGCTAGGTGTTGTAGTTCCCATGAAAGCCTCTATATATTAAAAAATCTGAGCTAGAGTGAGGATTTTAAAACTCTGTGAAAATTCATTTCTAGCTTAGAAGAAATCCCTTCTGCTGTTCCTTTCATGGGATCACGTTGCTTTACTTGCAAAATTTGTACATGTAAGGATTTGTTTTCTGAAGAGGATGAAGCAATCTTTATAGGAATGTAGTCCAAAAAGAAAACTCTCACTTTCTCAGGTGAAAGAGCCAGAAATTGATGCTGGATTAGTAAAATTAGACGTGTGTCTAGTAATAAGACTAGAGAGTGGGAAATTAGAGATTCTGGTAATACAGTATTTCTATTGAAAATGCAAGGCAGGTGCTCAGTGTGGTAAATGACATTCTAAAAGCATAATCTGTTTGTGTCTAGCTGTAACTTCGGAGTCAGCTGAATCTATGAAACCATCTATTTTCTTTTAGTTTAGGTGAAAGATTTGTTTGCCTTTGTTTGCCAAGATTTTCACTTAGCATCATGAAAGAGAGCAGTGAAAGCACGGTGAAATGCACGTTTGATGTGATTTCATATTGGTGTTGCTTTATAGATGAATAAAGCAGTTTAACCAGATCTTTCCGTCATATCTGTGAATAGGAAAATATGCACTTATGCTTGTAAAATGTGAACAGGTTTTCGCTTCGTGAAATCAATGTTACGTTTTCAATTTGTATTTAAGGTAAATGGAGTACAGGAAATTCAAAGATTGTCTTTTAACTTTCAGGAGCTCATATGACAGATCCTTCACATTCAATTATACCTCCAGGTGGAAGGTGAATTTAAAACAATGTAGTTTTTTTGTATCAGCTGTGTATTTTATAGTATATCTATCTCTTAATGTGCTTTTTCTGTCCAGCTGACCTTTGGATAACTTTTGCTTGCCTGGGATTATAAAAAGCATGAAGCTGAATTTTCTTTCTTTTGACCATTATTTGCGGGGAAACTGTTCTGAATTAAACAGCTGGCAAAGTTTCCCCTTGGTTTAATTAGCCCAATGAGTGTTCTTAATTCACAGTCTGTCAGTCAGGGAGAAGTTTGTCATGTTTTATGGTGCGGCAGCGATGGGGAACAGATGTAATGTTGCTTCCTTCCCCCTCCTCAATTAAAAACACTAAAATAATTTTTTTGTTGCAAGTAAATGAAGAAATTGTATCTGGAATAAATCAAAAATTGGTTAATGTGAAGACAGGCATCAGTTTTCTGTGCTTCTGAGTTTGCTTCTCATTAAATGACAAACATACTTTGAATATTGTGTATGTCCCGAAAATGTAGGGATAGGAGATTCCTGGAAATTCCCTTGAGATAAATCAGATAAGCCAAGATGCAGGGTATTTTACTTTTGTGTTCCTAGTTGGACAAAAGTACTGGGAGATTGATTTTGCTTGACAACCTGTAAAGCTTGAGGAACTTTCCAGAAATTTGTTTTTTTATAATGTCAATGTGCTTGATTTGTTTATTTTTCTAGCTCTCTTCCTATTCAAGTGAAAACAGAACCAAACGACGATTCTGGTAGGTTCAAAATTTTGCCCTTATTTGCAAAAAAAAAAGGTCAGTTTCTGTTCTGAAAGCTGAATTTAAGCAAAGATAGCAAGTTCTAGGAAAAAAAAAGCATCAAAAAGCCGTCCTTTGTGAGAAGGAAAAACTTTTCTTTCCTTAAAATTGTTCACTTTTCAGGTGGGGTTTTTATCAAATATTAAACCTCAGCCAAATGTTGCCATTTCTAGAAGGAGATTTGTAAAATGTTGTAGCCTAAAATAATTCATCTTTGTAAACAGTTTAAGGGGGAGAAGAAAATCATCTGTTTTTTTTTTTTTTGTTCTAATTCAAGATCATTTTGTCCCTACGGCGGAGAAACAAAGTTGGTTTATTTGTTAGTATTACTAAAATATTGAAAATGACAGAGTGTCCATTATTTAGCTAAAATGGAAATAAATAATAAATAGCAAAATGCATTATTTATTGCTAAAAAAATGCCCAAGCATTCCTGAGTTCCCCTGCAGGTAGGACATGATCCTGGGATCAGAGCAGTGCTTAAGCGTGTGCTTTGAGGTGGAGGTGTGAATAATCCCATTAAAGGCGCTGAGACCACCAGCATGCTTAGAGATAAGCCGCTGACTCTCCCTTTTGTTGGGTTGGGCTACGCCACTCAGCATTTTGTATAAGAATTAAGTTTTTATATTTAGACCAGTTTTTTGCTCTAGTTCTTTCTGCTTCACAACTTTAAATTTGTGGCTTGGGAACCCTTCATGGTTGACATTGATCTTAACGTATGCAAAGAGTTAACTTGAGCTTTTTGTCAAGTCCGTCCCAGACACTTTCCAGGGCTGCTTTCTAGGCATGTGAAGTAATTCTCCTTTTGTTGGAATGTTTTGAGAACATTTCAGGGAACGTGGTGAAGGCTTATGGAGGGAATATTTCACTTGGAGGAAGCCAAGAGCAGTTGAGGACCGGTGGTGTTGCTCCGTCGGCAGCACAGGTTGATGCAGACTGTCTGAACTTGGCTGTACGGAGGAGTGAGCAGGAGCAGGGCTAGAAGGACTTTCAGCACGAGTGATAAAATGCTTTTTTTTTTTTTTTTTTTTTTTTTTTTCTGAGAAGGACTTTCAACCCGGGGTAAAAAATGTTTTTTTTTTTTTTTTTTTTTTTTTTTTTGTCTGTGATAGTTGACAAAAAGGAAGGACAGCCATTTTTTTTGGTTCTTCAGATCCAAGATAGCGTTTGCAAGGGATGCCTGGTTTGTAGGGAAGCATTGAATCCTGAATCCCTTGTGACAATGACCAAAATGAAACATAAGGAACCAGTGGGTCACTTTGTTCCTGTTGTTTTAGCTCAACAATTGTGTTTCAGCACCTGAAAGTTTTTTTTTTTCCTTTTTTTGAATAGAGACCAGCTAGGATCTTGGTGGATGTTTTGTTCGGGTTTTTTTAAGAATCTAGTTATTTTTAATTTCTATATTTGTTTCCTTTATTGCTTCTACAGGAAGTTCTTTGGAAAAGCACACAGTAATAGTGAAGGAGGAATCAGATGATCCTGACTACTACCAATATAATATTCCAGGTAATGATACTAACTTTCATATGTATTTATCTCATGATAGGGTTGATTGCTCAAGTTTTGCTCCCTCTATGCCTCCCTTTTAATATTTTGGTAATTAAATGTGCAATTACTTAGGTCTGTTAGGCTGCAAGATTTCCATGCTGGCTATCATTTAAGTTATTCTGAAGAATACCAGAAGAGCTAAAGTACAACTTCAGCATACCCATATGTGGGTGTTTGGGCTGAAGGAGAAATTCCAGGAGTCTTGAACTGCTTGTTTGTTTTTTTTTTCTGAGAGTCCAGTATGCAGACTGTTACTCCAGTGACCTCTTTAAGCAGGAAATAAACCATGGTAACGATGCTGAATCTTTTCTTTAGTTGACAGTTTCAGTAACTTTTATAGTGTGTCAATCACTTTTCCTGTATGGAATGACTAAAGTGTGTCAAGATTGTATTGAAAGGTTTATTTATATAGACAAAGCATGACAACATTTGTTAGGTCCATGACTTGGGCTCTGTGTATGTATTAGAGTATCTCTTGGTTGCATTGCCTCATCTCTGCATGTTAACCTCAACTGGGAGTGGAAAAAGAGAAATCATTATTTCTGTAGGTTGAAATGAATAGTAATTAAAAAGTTGTGATTATAAATGGCAATGTAAAATAATTAGAACCCTAAATGTATTATTCCAGCCTGTTTGTATTTGTCGTTAGGTTAGTTGAGCAATACAAAGGAACACAAGAGAGCTGCTGTGCGTCTCTGAAGGACAGCTGCGTGTTCAACAACCAAGTCCAAACCAGCACATCATTTTGTAATATATTTCATTAAGATAACGTTTTGTGTGTGTGTGTTTAGACACAAAGATTCTGGAGATAGTTTTCTAATGTCCTTTAATAACTAACTACAGGACTGTAGAATCAATATTCTCGTACGGGTGTGTCTCAGGTAGTGTAGGGGCACTGCTCAGAGACCTGAACCAGGCAGCACGGCACGGTGTCACCACTCCAGTTCAGAAGTGGAAAGGTGGGTTCTCTGGTGTTAGGATTATCTCTTCTGTATTTGTGCATTGCCTAGCCTCAGGGGATGGAAGGCTTTACAGGCATCATATAATGTCATAAAAGTAAGTACTTTTCTGGAGACAGCCTAATCATTGTTCCTTCCAAAGCCAAGTCTGTCATTGTTTTGCTTTTCAGCCCCTTGTGGCTTTCCACTCAATGCATAAAAACAATGTCAGAATTTGGGCAGTAGCCTGAAGTGTAATCCAGTGCCGTTTGACTGAAATCGCTTCCTTGCAAAATTGTAACCCATTGTACTGCAGCGCGTTTGTCTGAGCTAAAAAATCCCATTTATCCAGTATGCTGCCATAGTGACGTCTAAGCAGTGTGGATTTGAGGGAAGGGAATTTCTGTTGTCTTCTACAGAACTAAATCTACATCTTCTGCCTGGTGAAGAGCAATATGTCTCTCTTTCCGATAAAGTGCTGCTTGATTAATAACTCCTTCTTTCCCCTCTCCCCGTGTAGTCCTCCAAACTCACATTTAAAACGAGACAAAAATGAGTATGTTGGTAGAAGCGCTGGGGTGCTGTGAGCTAAAAGATGTTCTCGTGTCAAGTCGTGCTGCCTGTCCCGGAGTAAAGCAGCTTCCCCTGCGTTTCTTCAAGTTACTGCTGCTCAGATTCAAGCCAAAGGTGGTACCAAGCACAGAGAGCTATAAATTGAAGAGGTTTGTGTGTGCATGATGGTGCTGGGCAGGGCAGTGAGCCTTAGAACAGCGCGGTTATCCCAAGATGTGTTCCTGAGGAATGATGCAAGCCTGCCCAGGCATTGCCTTTGGAGAGATGTGCTACAGAGTAAAGAAAACGTCCGGGGTCGTAGTTCTTACTAAAAATACCCTACTGCAGAAGCCGGGCTTACTGATTTATGAGAAGAAACAGCTGAACTGTTAGAGAGCAGCAATCTGTTTGGGGCTTCCAGGAGATGATTTACTGATGAAATTTCACAGTCATCGTTTTTTTCTAAGTGTTTGCTTCCTCTCACAGATCTGTAATGCTGACCAAAGCGCTGTGTGTCGTGGTGGCACATGAGATTCTCCCATTCATCAAATGGGTAAAATTATACCTGTAGGTGGACGTTCTTTTAATTGCTTATTATCTCGTAGCAGGTTGCAGCATTTGGATGTCGCCATGAGTTAATGCTGAATTACTAAATTTAGCAGTGTTTTAGCAGTACGCAGTAAGAAGACTGAGAAGTAGGGACTTTTGTCATCAAAAACTACACGTGGGCGTTATGACAGTGTTAGGGACAGTTTTCTGTCGGTGGGCACTAGCAGAATGGCAGTGGGTGGTTTTTTTCCAGTATCCTGGATGAATGTGAAGGTCACTGCAGTGTTAATGCTTTGGGTGACATCAAAGACAACCTGTGCTGGAAGAAAAATACAGACTTTGGCTGTTGATTAAATGAGGAAAGTGACTGAGCAGAGGTCTGCAGGACTAAATTACAGAATCATGAATGGTTTGGGTGGGAAGGGACCTTAAAGCCCATCCAGTGCCACCCCCTGCCAGGGGCAGGGACACCTCCCACTAGCCCAGGTTGCCCAAAGCCTCATCCAGCCTGGCCTTGACCCCCTCCAGGGATGGGGCATCCACAGCTTCTCTGGGCACCCTGGGCCACTGCCTCACCCCCACACAGGAAAACATTTCTTCCCAATATCTCATCTCAATCTCCCCTCTTCCAGCTTCAAACCATTCCCCCTCATCCTGTCCCTGCCCCCCCTGATCCAGAGCCCCCCCATCTCTCCTGTAGCCCCCTTTCAGCACTGGGAGGTGCTGGAAGGTCTCCCCGGAGCCTTCTCTTCTCCAGCCGGCACACCCCCAACTCTCAATAGTAACACATACTGGAACGTTGCAGCTATCATAGTTAATATTCCTGCATATACCTTATCTATAAGCACCAGTTGTTGTGGCTCTTATGAAAATAAATGTTAGTTAAGATGCGGTTTCTTAGTTTAGTGGCTGAAATGTCATTTAGTCCTTGAGATGTGGTTTGTACTGTTAGATTAAGCATATTGCTGTGCTGTGGGAACAGATCTGTTTCCACAGCTGCTGCAGAGGGACCGGCATTTGTTTCAGCCCCAGCTCCAGCCCAGCTGGGGATGTGCAAAGCCTGATCCTGAAGCCAAGGAGCAGGGAGTGTGTTCTGTACTGAGTTAATGCAAATACCTCTCTGTGCCCGTAGATCCTCCCAGCTTCTAGACTGGCTTCCTTGTGGTCAGGAAACTGTTTAACTGATGTGTGAATGTTTTGGACAGTAGCAGACACACATCTTGGCTTCTTGCTAGAAGGCTGTCCACAAGACCCAGGCTACCTTAAAGACTTTTCATGGAAAGAATGAGGTCAAAATATCATCAGTGCCAGAATGAGAACAACTCTGATTCAATTAACAGAGCAGAATTAAGAGCTCTATATTTTTTTTATTTTCCAATTTACAAAGAAGCAGGAATACATTAAGAAAATTCCTTGGTTTTATGTACCAGTCCTCTTCCCCAGCACAGAGTAAAGCAGGGCTTTCTGGAGACACAGCCCACACAGAACTGAGTAATTTGCTGACTAAGGACCAAACAGTTCCTGAAAGAGGCACGTTATCTCATGGATTTTGTGGATGCAAGTCTCCAGTTACCACTGATGCCTTGAAGTTAAAACCAAGAGAACTGGAAGTGGAAGGGAAAGGCTGTAACAGTGTGTCCTGTGAATTGGCTGGTTCAGCTTATGAACCGTTGCCTAATGAACTGATTAGTTTAACTTATAAAATACTTGGAAGTGAGTAAACAACTGCCTATCATCTTTTCTCTTCCACTGTTCACCATGTGGTTGAACACCGCTCTCAGTTTTGGAATTTCAGGAAATGCTGGAGCGGGGCAGGTAAGATGTAGGAGATTGATCCAAAAACAAATGAGTTTGAAAATATCTTCTGCTGGGAAAAAAGTGTGAAATGGGAATGGAAAGTGTGCTTTTGTTCTCACTCTGGAATGCTGAACGTCATGAACATCTTCCAGTGTCTCTAACAACAAAATATTTCTCTTTCGGCGATCTCCCAGAATCCTGGCTGTCCATTTTAATGGGGCTAAAACCGTAAAGCTAACCTGGCAGTACTCTGGCCACCATAATGTGAGACTCAGTGTGTAGATACTATATTCAACAAAGAAATCCCAGAGAATTTATTGAGAAAACAAGAAAGCACAATGTTGTGCTTCCTAAAGGCATTCTGATATTACCCTGGGAATGGCATATCGTTCACATTGCTGCCGTCTGTGTAGCGAAAAAAAGACTAAAAAAATGAGCATCAGTGACGATGCTAATCCGTGAGATGAGAAATCTGCTGCTTCTGCCAAGTGGCACAAGTTTGGCTGGGTAGTGGCAGGACATAATCCGTTAGAAACAGAGGCTGAGAGATCTGAACCTGGTGTCAGTACGTGGTTTGGTGGTGGGTAGCAGAAGGAATAGCTGTGACTGTGGAGGGAGTGACATCTGCTCCTGTTTTATAGGAGTTGTTGGAATGTGAAGAATGACATATTTGTGACAGGCGTTCCAGAAGTTCGTGGTTGATACCAATAGCCATCTTTTACACAGGTTTCGCTTCACTGCAGAATCCCAGCCCAAGTGCGCGATTCAGGTGCAATGGTCTGTTAGTATTTGTCTGCTGACAAAAGACCAAGTTTTAGTCTGAATGTTACAGAATTTCTGAGTGTCTGCCTGCAAGTCTTATAGTTTAGACTCCAAGACATAACTATAGTGCAGGATTTTACTTCTAATGTGTCCTGTGGTTTTATAATTAAACCTCCACCTGTGTGACCATGCTTCCTCTGCTGTACCTGCTGCAGTGGAATTAAATTCTTACCTCTTAAGTTTTCTTCTTTTTTTATTTTTTTGTGATTTCCTCATACTTTTATTCCTAGATGGAACTTTTTTTTTTTTGATCCGGTTACCACCATATTTGGTTTTGGCTTTTCTTAGTAATGTGATGTGTGCCTGTGTCCCTGTCAGGTGCATGAATGTAGTGAAGTGGAAATGTATCTGCTTTTGGTAATATCTCCTGGTGGTAGGACTTTCAAAATTCTTTTAAATTTCATTTTGTAGTCTTTACTAAATTAGGCTAGCAGAGGATATTGTTTTACACTTTTTAATTTCTGAAACATTTTTTCATACTGTTTTTTCCTCTGTCAAAGCTTCATAATACAAAAAAAAAAAAGCTTCAAGTTTCAGAAAATAATCTGTGTGGGTCACTTATAAAAGGTCTGATGGGTTCACTACATGTACTGTATTTTTTTATTGACATTAAAGCTGAGGGGATTGAATTTTCCATGCTTAATCCCAGGGGCTGTAAGCCTGGTGAGTGTATCTTTTTAACTAAATAAATCTTTCTTCAAGTTTGAAGGTGTCAGACTTCCCATTTTCCCCTTTTCATTTGTGTCAGCATGTACTTGTCGCGAAGCTAATGCAATATAGACAATTACAGAATATGTAGGTAAAACAATCCTGGCAGGATTTCCGAATTAAGGAATAAACTTGAAAATATGTGCTCATAATAGGATGTTTGCTTATGATGGGATGCATGCTTCTGGGTGTCAGTATGTTATGAATGATGATAATTGCATGTTCCACAGAGTTCTTAGGAAACGACACTCCTGCCTGGCTGCAGACACTGAATATGCATATTTAAATAAAAGCAAATTTAGTCTGTGGAGACATGTTCCAGCACACCCAGGGAGGCTGTGTTCTATTCCCGCTGGCCCGCAAGGGTTGCAAATCCCACTGTTTGAGGATTATTTCCTGGTGTGTCCTGGAGCACCCCCAGTGCCCCTGGCTGCTGCCTTGCTCCTTTTCCTCCCCCGGCTTTTTCCCATCCTTGGGCTTTGGTCTCAGCTATGCTGGTACCACTGAAAAAAACCCCCAAACACTCCCCCAGCA